CCGGGATATCATAGGTGATAAGCGCACCAGAATGAGAATGGAGGTTGTTGAAGCACTTCTCAAAACTCGTCACACATACAGATGTGGGACAATGACAAGTAGATGTGAGAAACTCACAATGTGAGTCTCACATGCTTCGGTGATAATTATTATGCAATTCTGAGGCTGATTCCACAACTACAAGCTTTCAGTGTTTGATTTCGCTGTCGAGGTGCATCAGGCGACCCTACTTCTAGCCTTACTTGAAACCTAATGTCTATGGGGTTGATGAACATAAATGTCGAATATGAGTTGATTAAATCGATGGTATGTAAATCATACTAAGCGGTGTCATCAAATGTCATACTCTTCTATTTGATAGAATCTATTGTGTCTTTGACCTTTCGATTAAATCATTCATTTTGCATATGCAATTAACTCATCGACTACATGCTATCTACACTCTTTATAGGGCGCTGAGTTCAAGAGTGGCAAGACAGTAAGGGTACCAGTGCATGACAGGCACTGCCTGTGGCTATCAACTGAGCGGTCTAGCCTCGACCCTTATTTTTTTTTCGCGCGCTACGCGCGCGTGGATGTGCTCTGCGGCAGCCGTCCTAAATTGTTGTCGAACTAAGCCTCAATGCCGACGTAAAAGAACATTTCAATGGATTTTGAGTTTCGAGGCGGATCGATTTCTCGAATCGAATCGATTCGTGCGCCCGCCGTAGCATCCTCGATTGATTAGCACCGAACAATCGATCGATTTTCGATATCTCGATCCAATCGAGCCTCGGTCCGATGTATGATCCTCACCACGTAGAGTTCTCACTAACGTAGGAACCCAACATCACAATTAGATCTAATGGATTTGCTACTCAATCGCACTAGTGAGACCACTACATATAGACCAAGTGCTAGTCAAGCGAGATTACAACGTAAGAGCAACTGCTCCTAGTCGTAAACGACGCACGTTCACAGTCAAAGAGAGAACACGTAGCCACAGTAAGCTACGGTTGTCTAGTATCAATCTAGAACTCTAACTCTCAGATAGAACAGAGGTGTGCAATCAATCTCATCATCTTCAACGTGAGTGAAACGTCCAGCCGTTTCAACACCAAGATACGTTGCGAAGATACGCCATCATCTTGAGCACTTAAGTCGTCTTGGTGTTCCTTTGCGCTTGCCTCGCGGCTCCGCGCAGCAATCATATCTGAGCGCAGTCCGAAAAGCGCGCGCCATAGTGATCTAAAATACATACTGCGGGCTGCCCCTGAATCCAGCACTAAATCAATGGCACTATGTACCTGCAACTGTATGAAATGTTGCGCGGTCGCCAGGGGTGCCAGGAGATGACGGAGTAGAGTAGAAGAGTAGTAGAGAGCTGGATCAAAGCTGTCAAAGCGTGGGACCAGACGTAGGGACTTCTACTCGATCCGAAGGTACCCCTGTTCAACCGCGGGTTGGCTCAGCCGGAATCCTCACCACGTAGAGTTCTCACTAACGTAGGAACCCAACATCACAATTAGATCTAATGGATTTGCTACTCAATCGCACTAGTGAGACCACTACATATAGACCAAGTGCTAGTCAAGCGAGATTACAACGTAAGAGCAACTGCTCCCAGTCGTAAACGACGCACGTTCACAGTCAAAGAGAGAACACGTAGCCACAGTAAGCTACGGTTGTCTAGTATCAATCTAGAACTCTAACTCTCAGATAGAACAGAGGTGTACAATCAATCTCATCATCTTCAACGTGAGTGAAACGTCCAGCCGTTTCAACACCAAGATACGTTGCGAAGATACGCCATCATCTTGAGCACTTAAGTCGTCTTGATATTCCTTTGCGCTTGCCTCGCGGCTCCGCGCATTGGCCACGGGAGACGTTGGCTTAAGTGGATCCCATCATAATTGACGTATACACCCAACGTTCATAAGCTACGATGACGATCCCAAAAAGTAAAAAATGAACTAGTCTAATAGTCGTCATCTATCATCATCAATTACCATAGTCGTCTACATAATTCTTCTAGTCGTCTA